TGATCATTCTCCTCCTGACATTTCAGTATTTTAATTTTATCTTGTTTTTATAACCTCACAATTAGACATATAATTATTGTTTTCTATAATGCTCTTTTAGATTTTATCCATGCATTGACCCATTGTTTTCTATACCTTAAACCTTCCATCAGAATCATTTTCCTCCTTTCTGAAGCATAACTTTTAGAATTTCCTTCATGAGAGCCTGTTGATGATACACGCTTTTTGTTCTTGTCTGAAAAATGCCTTATTTTGCCCTTCTTTTTTGAAAAACAACTTTAAGGAGGTGTTATATGCCTACCTTAAATTCCTTCACTTTAAGTGGACAATTAAATGATTTTTAGTAAATTTACAGAGTTGTGAAACCATCACTGCAAATCTAATTTTAGAACATTTCCATCATCCCAAAAAAGAAATCTAGTGTCCATTTGTAGTCAATCCCCACTCCCATCCCCAGCCTTAGACAACTGCTAATCTACTTTCTGCCTCTAGATTTGCCTTTTCTGGACATTTCACTTCAGTGGTATCATACACTATGTGGTCTTTTATTTCTGGATTTTTTCCACTTAGCATAATGTTTTTTAAGTTCACCCATGTTGTAGCCTGTTAATACTTCATTACTTTTATCACCAAATAATATTCCAATGTATGAATATACCATATTTTTTGTTTGCCCATTCACCAGTTGATGGACATTTGGATAGTTTCTACTTTGGGGCTGTTATGAATAATTCTGCTATGAACATTTACGTAAAAGTCTTTGTGTGGACACGTCTTTTCATTTATCTTGAGTAGATAACTACAAATATAATTATTAAGTCATATGATTAATCTATTTTTAACATTTTAAGAAACTGCCAAACTGTTTTCCAAAGACACTGCACCATTTCACAATCCACTCCAGCAACCATGAGGGTGCAAGTTTTTCTACATCCTTGCTAATATTTCTTATTGTCTATTCTTTGATTATAATTATTCTTGTAAGTGTGGAGTGACATCATGTTGTAGTTTTAATTTGCATCTTCCTAATAGTAACGAGGTTAACATCTTTTCATGTGGTTTTTGTTCATTCATATAGCTTCTTTGGTGAAATGTCTGTTCAAATCTTTTGCTCTCATTCTCGAAAGATAGTTTTGCTTGGCATAAAATGCCAGGTGTGTGGTTATTTTATCACAGCACATGGAAGACACTATTCTATTTTCTTCTGGATTTTGTTGCTGCTGTTGAGGAATTGGCCATCATTCCACTTGTCATTTCTTTCTAGATAATCTGTTTTTTCTAACTGTGGCTCTTTGTTTTGTTGTTCTGTAGTTTCATTATGATATATCTACAAATATATTTCTATTTTTTGTTTGTTTATCCTATTTTGTATTGAGTTTACTGAACTTGAGGATTTAGGTCTTTCATCAGTTCTCAGTCATAATTTCATCACTTATTTTCTCCTTTTTGTTCTCCTTCTATCTTTCTGAAACTTTGTTGAGATGCATGTTAAATCTTATCACTGTAGCCTACATGCATCTTAACCTGTCATTAATATTTTCCATTTATTTTCTCCTCTGCAGCATCCTGTGGAATGTCTTCAGTTCTATCTTCCAGTTTTCTAACTCTCTCTTTGGCCATATCTAATCTGCTATTAACTCATTATTAGCTGTTACGGTAGGCAGAATAACGGACTCCCGAAGACATCCACATCCTAATCCCCAGAACCTGTGAACATGTTACTTTAGGTGGCAAAATGGACTTTACAGATGTGACTTAGCTTAAGGACCTTCAGATAGAAATATCCTGCATTGTCCAGGTGGTCCCCAATCTAACAACAAGAGCTCCTCAAAGTGCAAGAGGGAGGCAGAAAAGGGGTCAGAGAGATGAAATGGAAGAAGGAGGAGGAGAGATTTCAGCTGTTAGAGGGACTTGATGTGCTGTTGCTAGCCTTGAGGATGTAGAAAAGGGCCACAATCCAAGGAGTACAGGTGGCCTCTAGAAACTGGGCAGGGCTTTCAGCTGACAGCCAGCAAGGAATTGGGGATTTCAGTCCTATGACCACAAGGAAGTGAATTCTGCCAACAACCCAAATGAGCAAGGAAACAGATCTTCCCTTACAGCCTACAGAAAGGAACCCAGCCTTGCCACACCTTGATTTTAGCCCAGTGAGACCTGTGTCATGTTTATAACGTACAGAACCATAAAATAATAAATTACGTTGTTCTAAGCTACTGATTTTGTAGTAATTTGCTACAGCAGCAATAAATAACTAATAGGGGTTTGAAATTTTAGTTATTTTTTATCTCCAGAGATTCTTTTTGGCTCTTTTTTATTCATGTGTATAGTTCCTTATCTAATACTTATATTTTCAGACACCTTTTAAAACACTTCAGTATATTATAGTAAAAATATATCTTATAATGTGCATCTGAAAAATGCATTGTCTGAGATCTCTGCGGGTCTGATTTTGATTTCTGTTGTTTCTACTGGCTCTTGCTCACAATGCCTTGTTTCTTTATGATTTTTTAACTTTTGACTGTGAGCTTGTGTCTATTAGAAATTAACTGTTGCATTCTTTGAGACCAGCACTGAAATTATATTGTTCCGGGGAAGATTTGTGTGTGTTTCCATCAAGTGTCACCTAGGATTTCCTGGTACCACCTTAAAATAAATTCTTGGCTTGAGTTGTTTTTTGTTTGTTTGTTTGTTTTTGTTTTTGTTTTTTAGATTGCACAAGTAATGTGAATGAATTAATGTCACAAACCTCATGAATTAAGATTTTCAGGAAAGATTTTTTTTCCCCACCCAGCACCAAACTGGATTAAATAAGCTACTTACCATCCCCTTCTGGCTGAGGATGAAGCCCTGTGGGGTCCCAGATTTAAGTAGGAATTTCCTATCAGGTTGGCCACCTGGGGGACGAGGGCTTACCCTGTTTCATTGTACCATCCAAACAGAAACTCTGCAACACTAGCCATAGCTGATGTCCCCAGCGTAAAATCTGGTTTCTCTCTCTGGATTCCAGTTTTCAGTCTATGTTTTGCTTGATTCTGAGGATTTCCTAGTGTCTTGCCAGTTCAGCAGTGTTTTAAAAAAGATGATTTTCATCTCATCCAGCATTGTTACTTATTTTCAGAAGGCTGGTTCACAGTGACAGTTACACCATATTGTCAGAAGTGGAGACGCCTGATTCTTTCTTTAGGGTGAATTCTTGCATGTAGAATTGCTATGTTAAAAGGTATGCAAATGTAAAACTTTGACACATATTGCCATATTATAAAGGCTTGTTTTCTGTTCAAGAAAATGAAATAGGGCCGGGCGCGGTGGCTCACGCCTGTAATCCTAGCACTCTGGGAGGCCGAGGCGGGAGGATTGTTTGAGCTCAGGAGTTCGAAACCAGCCTGAGCAAGAGCGAGACCCCGTCTCTACTAAAAATAGAAAGAAATTAATCGGAGAACTAAAAATATATAGAAAAAATTAGCCGGGCATGGTGGCGCATGCCTGTAGTCCCAGCTACTCGGGAAGCTGAGGCAGGAGGATTGCTTGAGCCCAGGAGTTTGAGGCTGCTGTGAGCTAGGCTGACGCCACAGCACTCTACCCTGGGCAACGGAGTGAGACTCTGTCTCAAAAAAAAAAAGAGAAAAGAAAAAGAAAATGAAACAGAAAAACAAATCACTGAATCATTTGCTGAATTGCTTTCAGATTTGCCTCTACCACCTATGAAAGGAAAGGGGAATGAATGTGTTTGATATCTGGACAAGAGACAAAATTTACCAATCAGATAATAACCCCTCAAAATCAAATTATGTGATGTTTATAGGTGGTAAGGTAGGAGTTCAGAAAAGACATAACATTTAAATCCAGCCGTGCCACCCTCAGCTTGGGAGTCTTCAGTGGTTCCCGTGGCCTTCATGGTAATGTTCAGCGTCCTTAAAGTGGACCCTGTGGCCTTGCGTGGCCTGGCCCCGCCTTCTCTGCACCCTCGTCTCTCCTCCCAGCTTGCAGGCTCCAGCCTCACTGGCCTTATCTCTGTTCCTCAAATGCGCTGACATCCTTGTCACCCCTGCACTTACTTCCTACCTGAATGTCCTTTCTCGCCTCCCCCAACCCCACTCCACCCCATTGCCTGGCTGACTCACTCTTCCTTTAGCTCTCAGTTTACATGTGACTTTTTAAGAGAGACTTTCCCTGATCTTCTGGTGTAAATGACCTCCAGCACATACACATACACACTCCTGCCTGTGCATGCAGATAGCTGGTCGACCTGGTATCTCAGGGACAGAGACTGTGTTTATGTGCCTCGAAGCATCTGGTCCTCCCAAAAGAGAGCTAGAGAGTGAGAGCGAGAGAGACCACGCTCTTTTAAAGCACCCGTTCTTCTCCTCCACGGCACTCGCTGCAGTGGCGTTGTCAGCGCGCACCTCCTCCACTGCTGCGTTCCGGAACCCAGCTCGGTCCCGGGTGCACGGTGAACCTTCACGGCGTAGACGGATTTAAACACGAGTGGCTGCAGTTGGGCGAGTGGAGCAGACAGACGCCGACAGATCGCCCGGGAAGTCGTAGAACACGTGGGAATATGAGGGAAAAAACCAGAAAAGATCAAAAAATTAATAATCTATAACTCAGCAAGGAAATATGAGTGGTCCTTTTTGATCTAACAGCTGTCATGTAAAAATAGACTTTTATGACTAGTCCATAAGCAGGGAGAACAAAAGGAGAGGTACTCGCAGTCCAGCCTGAGGTGTCAAGGTGAGGCGCTCGCCTGGATTCCCAGGTGGTTTGCGGATCTCCCCGGGAGACGCAGAGCTTCCCATCTCCGCGATGCTCACAGTGTCAGGCAGTAGAACGGATCCTAGTTCTTTCATTCCTGTAGATTGACGGTAGTTCCTCTGTTTTCCCCTTTTCCTTTTCGTGGCTGGCTTTGCTTTAAGCGATCCCATTGGTTCCTTTTAGCCTTGGCGGTTATCTCCGAGGGTGTTTGCCTGTTACATTCTGAACAGGTTCACTGTGTTCGTCAGGTATCAGAGTAACACCGCTTCTGCCGTCCTTGACACCATCACCAACATCCAACCCAAAGAGAGTGGAGGTGGCGTGGGAGAGACCCGGGAAGCCATCGTGTACAGGTTATCTGAAGACATGCTGGGCAAACTGCCCCCTGACTACATCCCTCACGAGGTGAGCTGTGCTCTGGGCCCACTGGCGTTCGGGGCTATTCTCACATTTAACAGTGAGTCTGATTACCACAAAAACAGCGATCTACCTGTCGTTGCCTATGTGGCGGATTACCTGTGTTGTAAATTTTGTTTGACTGTGTTACTAAACTCTGTGTCTCTCGTCGTTCATGTAACCCTGTCCTCACTCAAAACTTAAAAACATCAGGAAAAAACATCATTTTCTATGATTTTTTTTGTTGCTTTCTTTTAAAAATTCCTTCCCAAGTTAATTCCTCCCCAGTCAAAGCTTCCACACTGACCCAGTTATATATCAGCTTCAATGATGCCTTAAGGTGTGCTAAAAAACAAGTCAAAAAGCTTTAGGGCCAAAAAGCAATGGTGTTGATGATACGGCATCCTTTAAGATGCTCAAAATATTTTAACTGTAGGTAATGACCTGTTTACCCGATTTACTTTTAATCACTTCTGAAACTGATTGAATAGGGTTGAACAATTAGCAGAGATATTATTATAAGCACCCAGTTATCAACCTGAAGTTTTCCATGCACTGCACTTAGCCAGTCATTAGAAGGAGGTTGTAATGGGGCAGCAGCTGGTGTTTTTTGAGCGCTGGTTACAAGCCGGGCCCTGCGCTAAGTGCTTTATCCACATCATGTCACTCAGTGCTCAGGACAGTACTAGCAGAAACCAAGCTATGTGGTAGAGCAAGAATTTGAATGCAAAGTGATCCGATTCCAAACCCTGCAAACCTTATCCACTTTGGCATGCAACGAATGCTCCCCACAATAGAAATGCTTTCTTGCCTCTTAAAACAATTTTTGTTTCCATTGTGTAGATAGGTACCAAGCAAGACATTTGGTTAAGACATTGAAACCAATGGCTTCATGTAGGAATAATTATAGCAAATGGAGAAAATATTTTTTAGATGAATAAATACTGTAAGTACGTACTTTCAATAGTTTATTGTGTGTGGTCTTCAAAAGACCAGAATACTTGCCTTTAAAGATTTTTAAAACTGGCATGTGAAAGTGAGATAAAACGTCCTCTAGAACACAGGGTTGGTATTACCAGAGGAAACTCTGAAGACCTGTGATAATTTGGCCTGTCCAGGCTTAGCTGGGGCCACTTCGCCAGCAAGACCTCCGTTCTGGCAATTTCCTACCAGAAACTGAGTGTCAGGGACGTTATTAAATGGACTCCCGGATGGGAAAGGGTTTGTTCTAAGAGACATCTAAAACTTCTTCCTATTCCAAGGTCACTTACTTTTTAGTGTCCTTTATTTTATAAAAGAGATGTGTTCTTGAAAATGTGGCCGTAAAGTGAATTTTATAAATCAAAATATAATCATGCTACTGACTTCTATAGTAAAAACAAAGTTACATTACTGTGGAGGAGACCACCTGGTTCCAGAAACATAATGAAAATCCTATATAAGACTACAGCAAATCTTAAGTTTTATTAATAAAAAAGCAATTTTAGGCTGGAACAGTAATCATACCCACAATAAAATCAGTACTAAAATTACATTTTCTAGAGTCCAGGTTTTTCCTAAGCACGTATCTCTCGCAAGTGAAGCTGGTCTTTTAAAACCCTAAGCAGGACAAGGTGACTTGTTTGGGGCTGTTAGCAAACCAAAGGTACCTGAGCTATTGACTCGACTTTGCAGTCAACGCCTGGGCTCGATTTTCCACTCACGGGGCGAGAACGCATTTCTACGATTTCCCCTTTCCTTAAGAGTGAGTCTCCGCTCTCGCAGTGTGGTGATTTAAAGGGACGCTCTGTATGCTGTTCAGCCACTGAAAGCCGGAGACGAGAACGAGTCACTGGAGACTGCAAAAATGCAGGTTCTGGAAGCAGGAATTTGGGAGAATACCTGGAGGCTGTTATGTTGGACTGGGTTAGGGGCCTCCCCTGACATGCTTGACTGTGATTTTGGCATCATTTCCAACACCCACAGACGCAGCCCCACTCGGGCCGTTGGGTTTAATGTCACTGCTTCCCTCTGAGTCTGTGCTTTCCCTCTTCATCCCTTGCTTCTTAGAGGTGACCCAACTGCAGCAAAGCAGAGGTGCCACTGCTGAAAGGAAACTTCCGTGCTATGCCAGAGACCTGTCCCGTAAAGCGAGGAGGCTGGTCCCAAGGGCTCTGAAGCCCGTGCGTCTCTAGCGTCCCATGCCTCAGGGAGGGGCAGTGGGCGTCTCTGTGACTCTTTGGACTGTCCTGGGGTTTCGTCTGTCCTGGTCCCTCAGATTTTGGCATCTCTTTGATTGTGACCAGCAGAAAGTTCAAATCTTTATGAGTCAGTATTTGCAGTCAATCGTTTCTTGGGCATATGTCACTAAATTGAAATGGGTATAGGTATTGGCTTATTTTCCGATAATTGTTATATTTTTATTGTTCCCACAACCAGAGGCTTTTGTATCAATCTCTTCAAAATGGTCGATAAATGATGTACCAGAAGGAACAAATGACAGGTGCTATTGAGGTCTTCCACGAAGTCAAACATTTTCCTTGATTAGATTAGGAAAGGCTCTCCTTAGCCACCACAGCCAAGGCAACAATGATCTTTGGAAAAATACAGCTAATCATATTCGTTGGTAACTGCTCTATAAAGATTTTGGCTGTATTAACTTTCTGTGACATTTCTAATAACAACTCTGCAAGCATAATGAAAAAAATTCCACTGTACTCTTATGAAGGTTAGGTTGCAAAAAAAAAACATTTAACTGACACCTAGTACTTAATTATTTGAAAGAGGAAAAGGTACAATTTTATTTTAGCCTTTAAAAGTACATTTCCAATTATCAACTAAGTACAATCAGTAGGAAATAGAAGTCATTTCAGTTGAACAGTAGTTTTTGAAGCTCAGAAAATGGGGACTTTAATGACAAGTTTGGTTCTGCAAGAGCTATTTTAGAGATCATTTGGGCTGGTAGAGACACATCCAGAGGAAGAAAAAGAATTGAGAAAGGAGAGGTCGTCGGAAGAGAAATGACAGATGTTAAAAGTTCCTTTATTGTGTTGCATACTTTGTTTTAGGTGAAAGCTCGCTTGATAAAGATGGGACATCTTAATTCAATGAACATATTTCTTAGACAAGAAATTGACAGAATGCAAAGAGTCATCACAATCCTCCGCAGTAGCCTGAGTGACCTAAAACTGGCCATTGAAGGGACAATCATCATGAGTGAGGTGAGCAGTCATTATCTCAGTGGTCATTTCCCTCTCTTGTTGTTTCTTATTCACATGTTTTAACTTTGTCTCCTCCAGAACTTGAGAGATGCCCTGGACAACATGTACGATGCTCGTATACCTCAGATCTGGAAAAGAGTGTCCTGGGATTCGTCTACACTGGGCTTCTGGTTTACTGAACTTTTGGAAAGAAATGCTCAGTTTTCTACTTGGATATTTGAAGGGAGGCCTAATGTGTTCTGGATGACTGGTTTCTTTAACCCCCAAGGTATGTGCTCATAGGCAAGCGGGCAAATTTGGAATTCGTGTGTAGTTGGATAGTAGCATCGCGTGATGAATGTACATGCTACATACAACAATAAGGACGTGTAGCTTGCTGCGTGCTGTACATATCCTTTCAAAGGTTGGAGAACATGGGCGATCCTTCTGTGTTTGCACAATCTGAAATTCTTCCTATCATATTTCTTCCACAATGTGCTGGAAAAACCCTTCCTTTTTCTTTTGACCAACTTCAGCAAACCATCAATCTGTGGTTAGGACGTGTGAAAGAGTGAAAAACGGTTTCTCTCAAACTTTAGCTTTTAAATGTTGGTGAAAATGTCAAAAATGAAGCAGCAAAAGATGTAAAAAGTGGTGCTAGGGTTCAGAAAATCAGACTGAATGATCAAAAATGATCATTTGGCAAAAGTACTCAGTGAGCTTTGGGGTCTTTCTTCCCTCGGGTTTTTGTTTTTCCTGAAAGAGTGCTTTATAATTCTGCTTCATTTACTCCTTCGTTCTAGAAATGTCTGCAAAGGCGTCATAGGCTTGATGTCAGAGAGTTTATAAGGTTCGGAAACATGACAACTTTTTGTCTTAATACAATGTGAATAGTTTAACTTCAAGTAATTCTTGGCCAAGGTGAAGAAATGTTGAATTCCTTCTGGCCCAGCACCTCATAGCTTCATTGGTAATACCGTTTAAGAAATATTCACACTCACAGATTTAGGGTGAATTATTGCTACTTGCAACAATGTGGTTGAATCTCATAAAACAATGTTGAATAAAGGAAACCAAACAGAAAACATTACATATTGTATGATTCCATTTAAACAAAGAATAAGAACAGGTGCAATGGAGCTACGGTGTTAAGAGTCAGGATAATAGCTACCCTTGGAGGGAGGGCAGTGAGGAGAAAAAGGCAAAAAGGGACTTCTGGGGTCTGGGAATGTTTCATTTCTTGATCTGGATACGGGTTACATGGCTGAATTCCCTTGCGGAAAATTCCTTGAGCTGTACACTTACAATTTGTGCAGTTTCCTTTGTATCATACTTTAATCATACTTTAATAAATATTATACTTTAAAAGTATACATTTAATTGTCCTATGCATATATATATTTATTCACTGCATGCATTTTCAAATGCCTTAAAATTTTCTAAATTTGAAACACTTAGCCATGGTGATTTCTGTGAGCATACCAAATTATACATAGTACAATGTGATGTCAACAGCGTTTAGAATTGCAAAGGGCAGCCCCCAGATTTCACTTATCTGTTTTCCTCTCAGAATTTCCATTGAATTAAGGAAGGAAAATTTTTATTATTGTTCTCAGATTTCATGTGTCTACCTAGGAGTCCCTTTCTTCCTCACGAGCCCTCAATCTGAGTAAGTTGTCATCAGGTAATCCTTGGCTGGGAAGCCCGAAGAAAAAGCATTTAACTTAATAAGGATTGTTCCACCACCTTCCATTTGCCAGCCCCTCTGCCAGGTGCTTTTGGTAGAGAGACATTTAAGACCTGATTCCTGCCCTAAAGGAGCCAGTAATCTGGTTGGTAAGACAGAAACGTCAGCAGCCCTAATGTAATGTGGTAAATGTCCCACCGTGTGAGAACGGAGTGCCACAGTGGCACAGAAGACAGGGAGATTAATCTGCAAAGAGCTTCGCACAAGAAGCAGTGAGTAGGGTTTGCCGAGATGCAAAGAAAAAAAAAAAGGAATATTCCAGGTAGAGGCCTGACCCAAGACGAGGCATGTCCCCCGGAACAAGGAGACTCGAGCGGCTAGGGCTGGGGGTGGGGAATGAGGCTGGAGCAGGAAAAGGCTTCTGGGGGAGCTCGGGCTCTATATGAGAAGATAATCCCAGGAGAAGGCAAGGGGTAGACCAGAATATGGGGGCCCAGTGCAATGAGACTCTCACAAGGTCCAAGCAGAGATCCTGGGACCTTGGCCAGGTGCAGAGCAGGGGACAGGCTGGATTAAATGGGGCTCTCTGAGAGAGCGAGGAGAGCAGCCGTGCTTGGGCTGAAGGCAAGGTCCAGGACGGGAGCACTGGACGAGGGATGATGGGCTGGGCATGGAGCGTGGGATGTGTCAGCTGCTGCTGGTCAGACACCCAGGTGGGAGGGGTTTGGCTGGCTTCGAGTTCAGGAGAGGTGTAAGGACCAGTGATGTTAAAGACTGCAAGGGCGTTGAGTGTATTTTTGCTATTCCGAAACCAAGGCAGTGAGGCGGGTTCGTTCCGGCTTTCCATAGACACAGATGACTAGTCCTGTCATTTATCACGGCACACGCATTCTTTCTGTGATTGTTTTTTTTTTAATTCTTCATCAAAAATGTAACTTAAGAGGGCAAAATGTTGATATGAACTATTCTCTACTTGTTAATATTCGTTAAGAAATGTTACGAACCAAAACAATATTTAAAGAAATACAAATATAGGTAGACATTTCGGTTGATTTCTTACTTGCCTATGCTTGTTAATAATATCAATCCTTTCTCTTCTCCTACACTTCCGTTTTCGGTTTCGATTCTTTCTCTCCTGGCTGTCTACGTCTCGTAGAGCCTGGACATCGTCAAGCTGCTCTCTGCGCGCGCGCACACACGCCCTCACCGAGATCGCTCTCCGTGCGTGGCACAGAAGACGGGAAGCCAACTCTTCCTGAACACTAGTCACTTCTCTGCTTCCTTTTCCTTCTTATGACTTGAGGGACAAATTACTTTCTGTCCCACGTCACTTGGAAATCTGGAAAACATGAGGATTACAGCAACTCCACACATGTTCACAGGCAGGGTGCAGATAAAGTTCTTTCCAACTTTAGTGGGCAAGCCTCTCTGCCCGCTATTTGACACCAACAATTGGTTTCTCAACATGAATGTGTCTCCTGGGGTTTATGTCTTCTAACTTAGGCTCCTTCAGTGAAATAATTTCTTTCTTTGGTTCCAAACATTTAAGGAGTAATGACTTAAAAAAAAAACCCGTGAATTTAAGTAAAACACAATGCAGTTTGCAAAGAGGCCATAGTTTCATCACAAACATATTATATATATAGTAGTCAAAATCACCTAGACTATAAAGACTATAAAACACTTGAAAATGTTTTATTTGCGTATGACTTCATTTTTATCATCTTGCAATGTGGCATCTGATCCTGTTTGGTATGTGTTTCCCGTGGTGCCTCTGGTGACTGCTCCTCGGACCTAAATGCTCGTGAGGACAGGTGAGCGACATGCCTCATTTGCCCCCGGTCAGCGTCCGTGCTCCTGCCGATTGTGGCACTGCTGTCTGCCTGTGGCAGCCCGATATTTCACATGTCGTAGCTGCAGAGGCTCATCTGGCATTTCCAGCCCCCTTCACAATCGTTGCTGTGGCAGTTGACAGGTTCAACTGCGTGGCAATTAGACTCGATTATTAAAACAGTCAAGCTCTCTGTATCTGTGGCTGTAAAATATTTATTCCATGTGCAGCTTTTTTCAGTGGGTGGATTTGCCTCCCAGTAGATTATTCAGGTCAGAGGACCTTGAGCGCCATTGGGTTTTCCTGGCATTCAATGGTGCACGCGTTCACGTCTCATTTGAGACTGTGTGTCTTGGGGTTCTCGAAGGATTGCTTTGGTCTCCTTTTCCCGCAGGTGTGCCTTTTCAGGGGGTCACGTACACATGATTTAGATTCTAGCGTGTGGTTGAGTATGTGTGTGTGTCTGTGCTATATGCGGGGACGTGTTCAAACCTAAAGAACGTGGGTTCTGATGAGCCCGACTTCACGCCAGGGTGCCGACGGCCTTTCAGAGCCTCTTAACTGACAGCCTGGCTTTGACGTTGGATGCGAGGTTGACTCACAGGTGCCGCTAACGAAACGGAGGCAGAAGCCCAGCTCACTCCCCACGTCTCACACCTCCCTATTAGATTGAACCTCGCAGCGTCATTATTTTCCAAATGTTTAACTCAATCTGGAGCTTGATGCCATCTAGATGCCAAACTGTGCTAGTTTGTTCTGTTATTTTTTTCTCGCTATCTTGACAAGCCACACGTCTGTTATAATAGATATCAGTGACAACTCACTATTCCCTAACACAAATCTACATTTTTCGGTTAGAGAGGATTTTGCTGAAGCAAGAGGATGGATAATTTTTGTCCTGTTATCTTGTGTTTCTAGAATAATATCCACAGCCTGTTGCCTGTGTGTTTGTTTACAGGGCAGCGTCATCAGCCAGCCTCAGTTCCGGAAGCTTTGTCTTGATCGCCGCTGTAAAAGCCTGCTGTTTGTCGAGGTGGGGAAGCGCACCAAGGGTTAGCAGAACTGTGGTCCTGGGAGGGGCCGGGGGATATCCTCTAATCTAGTGGCCATTGTAAGCGTGCCCCAGGGCTACTGTTTGGTGAATGAGAGCCACCCTTAATGTCTGAGGGAGTTAGGTGAATGAACCTCGGGGTCCTAAATCTCCATTTGAGCAACAGCACTGACCTGCCGTGTCCCCCAATCACAGGACTGTAGAAACGCCTCTGAGTCAATAACACCCATCCTGCTTGCCCTTTGTGTGGGGGGTGCTTTTATGCACCGGCCTTAGACTCAGCTCTTGTAATTCTAGTCTCTGCACATATTCACCTTCCTTACCAGCCACGCTGTCCCTTGTCATCAGGCCAGCCCCCCTCACTACACTGAAGCTGCTCCTCCAAGGCCACCACGTCTAAGCACCTCCCTGCCGACTTCCTTCTCCTGGCTATGGCTAGGATACCGACCCTGGAAGCTCATCCACACCTTGGCATCCATCTGGGCCTTCCCTCGGGTCTCTACCTGCCTCTCAGAGGCTGCTTCTCAGCGCCCTCCGTGTGCTCTTCTCGGGCGAGTGCTGCCCTTGGTCTTGGCCCCTCATGACCTCAGCCATCCTCACAGATCTACTGTTCATCTCTTCCTACGACGGACTCATCGGAAGTCCCAGTGCAGGGTTCTGATTCCTCACTTCCAACTGCCAAGGAAGGATATTCCATCCTCCTGTGAACCTCACCAGCGC